TGCTGATCTCCGTCCGGGCTGTGAATGCAGAAGTGATGTGTATTACATCACTTCCGCATTCACCTGTCAGTCATCTGGCTGCTATAGCCAGAGAAAAGAAGCTGATGAAGCAGATCTCTGCTTCATCAGCTTCTTTTGGGGTCCACAGGTGACAATAGGGGTCCTAGAGACCCCTAATGTCTCCATAAAGAGGACCTGTCAGTGTGCCTTTGCTATTATATAGGGGGATTTTATATATAGGTCTTTTTACCCGACATGACCCTGTCTTTTATATTTTACCAAAAAATTGGGTAATAATAAATGTTTTATCATTTAATATAGGGGAAACTGTTTTTTTTTTTTAATCTTGAATTTTTCCTTAATATAGTAAAAAATAAAAGAAAGCTCTATCTGTCCCCAAAAAAGGGTATAAAATTAATTTCAGTACAGCGTTGCATGACGGAATAAATGTCAGTCAAAGTACCGCAGCGCTGAATACTGAAAAATGGCCTGGATGGGAAGGGGGTTTAACACCGCGGATGTCAACTGGTTAAATCAGGGAAGATGGCTGATTCCAGGTTTTTATTAGCCCTTTCACAGTGATCTGTCCCAATGGAAAGTCTCAGGACTGAAATTTGGGGATTGTGTTTATCTGATAAGCTTCATTAACATACAATGTACTAGCCACCTCTGAATGGACTTGATCCCTCACCCATCACAGTCACTCCTAACACTTCAAAGAAATAGGAGCACAAAGACATTTTAACCCTTAAAACTCAAACCCAAGTCAAAACAATAAACTGCAAAGAGGCATTTTTTTTAGCTTATGTTATGTGTAGAGCGAGTCCATTAAAAACAGATCCCTTTCTGTTGTTTCTAATGGATCAGAGGGCCAAGAAACATCTTCCCGCCAAAAATAAACTGATAGGGGTTTGCCCTTCTACAAAACATGAACACTGGCTGTTCATACTCTTTAAAGAGCAAATCCAGCAATTTTTTTAATAAAATGGGTGCCTGGTTAGAACCTCTGACAGGTTTCTATCACTGCCTGTATCCCTATAGACATACACAGTAATTAACAAAACCTTTGTAAAAAAAAAAAAAGAGTTTGCCTTTATGTGTAGAAGTTGTTTGACATGGAAAGGCAGCCACTGCCAAATATGCCCACATATCATTGTCATAAGATGTCATAAGATGGGGTTACATGCAAATCCATTGGCATCACTAGATACTTTAAAACCACCATAAACTGATGACATGTTCTCCAGTAACTTTTGAATATTTCACATTGGGGTCAGTGGATACTTCACATTTGGGTTGGCAGAGCCTGTACAGACCTAACAGAACAAGCAATACTATTCATAAGGTTAAACTGGACTCTTAGCAGATACAACCGTCACACAATAATGCAGTTCTGTAATCAATAATACATCATTTTTTTAAAATGTAAGCAGTGTAAGTATCTACATTGACCCTTCCTGACACTCTCTTCTTGCAGTTCACATACAGCAGAGGTGAAATGTGAGAACAAGAAACAGTACAAGGGGCCAATCAGTTCACATTTTCCCCAAAACAATGAGGAGATAGCAGAGTAACAGAGAAATTAATTAATCACTGTGCTGCTTCTTCTTTCATTGTCCAGCCACAAGCTGGGGGCGGGTCCAGAAGTCCAGATTGACCCGGATTTAGAGGAAGTGGGTTGAATGATGTTGGCCAATAGATCAAGGACATTCAGTGGCAAAAAAATATTGCTGGAAATTCTCTGGACTGAAGTTAGATATTGGAGTAATTTGTTTTTTATTTGATCATTTCATTCCTATCATATCATATTAATTTTTTCTTGTTTTATAAAGGAGTTCTGCTTTCATTATTTGACCTCCTTGCTTTAGGCCGGGTTCACACCTGGGCGTTTTACAGTGCTGATCGATGCGCTGTAAAACGCTCAAACAGTGAAGTCCCATACTTCCCTATGGGGATGGTTCCCACCTGGGCGTATTTCAGCCCGTGGAAACTTGCTGAAAAACGCCCTACGCCCAAACAAGTACAGGAGCTTCTTTGGGGCTTTTTTCCGTGCGTTTCCATTGGTATTCCCGAGTGTGGCTCGGGGTTAACAAAGCGGTAACCCCGAGCCACACTCGGGAATACAGCGTAGGACTTACCTTGTCCGCGATCCCCCCTGTGTCCTCCGGCGGCTGCCGACCTCCGGGTTCCGTCCCTTGCGAGCGTCCGCGTTGCAAGGGGGCGGAGCCGGCGGGAAGTTTGAAAGTTAGATTTTTTTTTTTAAAATAGAGAAAATAAGGAAAAAAATTCCTACCGCCAGTGAAACGCGCGTTTCACTGAATGGAAAAACGTGCTAAAAAACGCAAAAAAAGGAGCTGAAAAACTAGCAGAAAAAATACGCCTAGGTGTGAACCCAGCCTTACAGTGTCACAGCATGTTATAATCCTGGCTAAGACATTTCTAGAAGTTACGTTATTGCTTTTACTCTTGTGTTGTTTTGAATCTATTTTTTTTTTCCTTTCTGTCTGACAGAGTATAACGTGACCACTGATGGTTGGCTGATCAAAGGTGACAGGCAGTATTATGTGGGCAAGGATCGGATGCCTATGGATAAGGCACACAATTTCTGCAGGACAAATTATGGTGACCTGGTTACGATCAATGACGAAGAAGAAAGGAGATTTCTGTGGCAATATGTAAGTACTCTTCTGTATGAAATGTTTGAACACTTTTAAGAATCCCAGTAATTTTGCAGCTGAATGGTTCCCAAATCCTGGACCTTGGAGCATATAATACTTACCTACCCCTCACTCCCCTACTCTTCCGTTGACTGTTGGCTGTGAAGAGAGGAAGCCTTCTCTAAGCTAGAAGTTGATCCATGTAAGAGTTTACACAAGGCTGAGGACTCTTCCTGCCCCTGTGTGACTGTCCTGGTGGCTCATTGACCAGTTGGAAGCCCCAACACTGATACACATGAGAAAGGGCAGTAAGTCTCATGAATCCCCACACCTATAAGAACCTGCTAGCAGTGAATAGAGGGGCAGAGAATGAAGGTACATTTTTGCAGGAGGGGACTGAACATTAAAGTGAACATGTTTGTAAATAGGGTGCATCCTCTTTAAAAATGATTGAATTCTGTTTTAAAATGATAGCTGAATGCTGTAATATACAGATGGACAAATGTCCAGCATACTTTTGCTGTGCGAATTGCATAGCAAATCCTTTATAAATAGACCCTTAAAGTGCAACTCCAGGGAACAAAAAGTTTTTTCTTGCACTGGGGCTGCCCCCGCACTGCAAGCGTTAACTGCTCATTTATGTGCGGGGACAAGAAAAGCAGCTTTACTTACCTGATACCCACTCCCCCGGAAGTCACTGCTCACCTTGACTCCCCATTTGCTCTGGCTGTCCCTTGGCATCCTCACATACATTGTAAGGCCGTGGAACATAAATTGTACTTGATGACATCAGTGGTTCTTAAACTGCCAGAGCAAAGGGCAGCAAAGCTGCGGGGACTGGTCTAGTAGCTTGGAGGGAGCCAGTAGGAGCGGAGATTGGGAAAGTAAAACAGCTCTTCCTGTCCCCTGGGCATAAACGAGCAGTTAATCCTTTGCAGTGTGGGGAAAGACCCACTGCAAGGGAAATCTTTTAATTTCCCTGGAGTTGGGCTGTTTGCCTGGACCTCTTTACTTAATGAACTGGTTAAGTAGTCAAAAGGCATGCTTGCCAATTTGCTCCTGGCACAGACAGAAAGCTGTTCAGAAGGTTATGGGGGTTCGAATCCTCACCCCTTGGGATACAAGTACCTAAATTAGGAAGTAGTATACTTCACTAAAAGGTATAATACCTCCTAAATAAAGCAGTGATGTCACATGGCAGCATCTGCTGTGTGACTCCGCTGGCCTAATAGGAAGGACCACCTTGCTTTTTTGAGTGGAGGCCCAGTGCCACTCAAATCTGCCAATAATTAACCATAATTGCCCTTTGGACCACCTTTAACAAGTTCATGAAGATACTGTGGAATATAATACTTGCTTAACTGTATAATGGTGGAAGGCTCAGGGTACAATACGGAGGTCATTATTGGAAGCTCTTTCCCCCCCTAGGGAACCCCCTACATTACCTTATTCTCTGATGATTGTCTCATCTTGATACTTGATTTTCAGTGTAGTTCATGAGCCTGTAAGTTAAATGAAAAATCAATTTAATTAAGATTTTCTTTTCTTTTAATATTTCCATTTGTTTGGAACTCCTAGCCCTCCTACCCACTAGTATCCCTTTATTGTGTTATTTAAGCTTATTTTCAGTAATTGGCTTTCTTCCACTAGCTTTGCAAAATTCTTATCTGCATTGTTCTTTTTCCTCTAGATTTTAAAGAACAGGAGGAGTGACTCATATTACATTGGAATGCTTTTATCCTTGGATAAGCAATTTAAGTAGGTGCCTACAACCTACACAAGTTTGTATTTTGCTGAGATATACTGTTTGTTTTTATTGGTTGTTTGATATCTAAGGCTAGTCAGTCTGAGTCTATGGTGTTTGAATGCCTTTATTAGACAATGACTGGAGAATTGAGAAATGTAGGAGCGTCCCAGTTGGGGATGATAGGATCTCCCCATGCTTAGATGAGCTTCGTATTTGCACTTTCTGTATTTTGGCACTTTCCAGCTCATGTCAAAAATACTGATCAGTGAGAGGAGAGCAGTATTATAGTTATAGGTCTATTTAAAGGAAGCCATGATACTTAGGAAATGCATTTACCTAAAAGTTTTTGTTATGTAACATCTAGTAGGCTTGTTGTCCTATGTTTACTGTGGTATTTGTAGATGTTTCAACCAAATGTTCTGTTGGATGACTATCTCTATAGTTCCAGCTACTGAAGTAAATAGGTAGCCTAGTGTGTCCTAGAAGTTTAAAAGTGGTCTTAGCCGACAGCTATCACTGTGCACAAAGCAATATTTTTTGCACCAGCAGCTGTGCTGTGCCACTATGGTGCTGGGATGGTACCTTTTGCCATTCACAGGTTCAGCACAGGGTAAAGGCTATGCTGATGTAGGGATTAGGTAAGTGTTATGTGCTAAGTAAAAGGTTGGGTAAGTGTTAGAGATAGGCTATGTATTAGATTTGCTTTAGGGGCTAGTTTAGGGTTTAAGTTAGTGTTAAGGGCTAGTTTAGGGGTTAGGTTAGTTTTAGGGGCTAGGCTAGAGGGTAGTTTAGTGTTAGGGGCTAGGATAGGGCTTAGGACAGTGTTAGAGAATAGTTTAATGGCCAGGTTAGTGTTACAGTTAAAGATTGTGACACGTGCAAGGTTAATCTAGTCCTGAGACATTAATATTTAAAGAAATATCTTAATGAGGAGTTTGCTTTTAAGTAAGCTTATCTCTTTGAATGTATTTTAGTTATATGAATATATAGACAGTATTATACCTCAGTAGCAGCATGGGACAGTGTCAAATTTGTCAGGAATCTGACATATAAAATATACCTTTTGTGCTCTTTAGATGGATGGACGGCTCTCCTATTGATTATGTGGCATGGGCAGTAAATGAACCCAACTTTTCTAACAATGATGAGAATTGTGTGGAGATGTTCAGATCCATAGGTACAGTATTTGTTTTATGTATAAATTATTAAATCCACATGGTTTTAAACTATTATCGTTTGCAGTAAAATCCTACCCTGACTCTAAAGTATGGGTAGCTGTTTAAAAATGTACTTGTATTCCCTGAAAGGGTCATTCTAAACAAAAGTGCTGGTTTAGTTATAAGCTGAGTGTGATGGGCTGAGTCAGCTCCAGGTGACTTGTTTAACTTGGAAGTTCCAAAATGGAGATTTTCCTGCCATAATTCCCAAATTTGTTCTTGTACACCTGGGCGTTCTGGGTGTTCTTACCCACCTTTGTCACTTTGTCAGTCACTATAGAGCACGGGTGACTGCTCATTTGCTAAAGTTATATGCAGATCTGGGCTTTTACTGTAAAAGTAATGCTTGACCCAGTTCTTCCAACCTCCAAGCTCATCTGTTGGTTTGTAAGGTCATCCATTGCGTTAAAGCAGTCGTTGGGAGACTCAAGCAGCAGGGCCAACCTCAACCTCAAACCCAGATTTTACATATAACCACAGCTGCCTAATTTATAGATCTACCTATCATTTAGACACCGGAGGTAACCCCTGCCAATGAATTCATTAAGTTTAAAGTTTCCATGTTATTTTAAACGGGCATTTTCTTTTATTGTTTAACTACCAGTAATTCCTTTTAACTTTTTAACAGGACTCTGGAACGACGTAAACTGTGGTACTTCATCCTCATATATTTGCGAAAGAAAAACCAATAACATCAACACAACATTTGCTCCAACTGTCCCTGCACCAAGGGGCGGATGCCCAGCAGGATGGCTGGCATTTGGAGGGAAGGTAATCTGCATGACAATTATTACTTTTTCTTGCAATGGCATGAAAGCAAACAATGGAGCAGTCATTGCAACTGCATGCAGGCACTTACTCATGGGGGAGGTCTTCTTGGCTCCCTTTTCTGAATACCAGCTCCCTCAATTCTGTCTTTAAGAATTTTGACAGTTAGTATAGGAAAATATTAAAGGAGAAGTATTGGGAGAATAAAATGTATTCTTTCCAATGCTTAGAGGCGGACTCTGGTACTGCAAGGTTTTTTTCCATCAAAGAAGCAAACTGTGAGCCCAGGAAAAACATGGAAAGGATTCTAAAGTTCCAACTTATTGCTCCAAAACACAATGCAGAATAGTAATATACAATGTATCATGTTTACCTTAAAGGAGAACTATGAGATGAGTGATTTCCACTCACCTCATAGTTCTAGCCGACCTGTGACAATGAGACTGTCACAGGTCGGCTCAGTAGATGGGGAGGTGAGCGAACACATACCGGCGTTCGCTCACCTCTCGATCCTGTCACGGCTCTCTGCCATGACAGGGGGAGGGGCTGGATTCCCCTCTCCCCGCTCCGATCTGCCAGCGCTGACTGGCGGAACGGACAGGGGATGGGGCGGGTATAGCTGGCTCTGCCTCTAGATAGGCAGAGCCAGCTATCACTCACGCAGCTGGGCGGATCCCGTCATTTACATCGGGATCCGCTCCGGCTGTGGCGTCTCAGTATACCGCGAGCTTTAGCTCGCAGTATACTGAGCTTAGGGTAACGGGAGGACGCTAGTTTGTGTCCTCCCGTTACCCTAAGGAGAACTATGGGGAAAAACACTGACCCCATAGTTCTCCTTTAATATGAAAAAATAGAGAGAAAAAAATAAAAATATCTACTTTAACCCTTTCGCTGCCAAGCCCTCCAAAATACTTTTAACCTCAGTTGACCACACCATTTTTGCAATTTTTCCCATTGTTTTGATTCTCTACTGCTGCATTACTAGCGTTTGTAAAAGACCACCCAAACCATGTGCTGTATTTTCTGAAAGCACAGGCCCAGTAAAATGAAAAGATGGTGCTACTAATTTTGTAGCTCCTGTGATAATTGCGCATTGTTATCAAATCAATATTACACCGTTAAAAATACACAATTAAATTGTTAAAAGCACTAAAATCAGTATCAGTGCACAAAATTCTTTCTCAAACTAAATCTAAAAGATAAAACTGTATTGATTTAATAAATAACTAATATGTGTACATTTTAAATTGGTACATTTAAATTGGTTAAAAAAATGAAGTAACGCAAAATTGTAAATAAGCGACTTATGTTAAAAATCATTTGTGCGCTGTGCTGGTGTGTGTGCTGTTATAAAATGATACAGGGATACATTTAATCACAACAGAGCATGTCACAACATTTGTTGCCACGTGCTGCCACAGTTAAATGAATGTTATTTTGAAAAGAAAAAATCAAGCACTGCAATGTGTTCTAACAACATGTGCATGGCGTAGACCACGATATGGTAAACACGGTTGCATGTCTATATTGTATGTGTGTGTGTGTATGTGTGTGTGTGCGGTGGGGGGGTTGGATTTTATTTTTGTATATTTTTTTATTTATTTCTTTATTATTATTTATTTCTTTATTATTAAAAAAAAATTCTACTGTTGGGGGGGATATTAGGGGTTAAACAGACCCTTGACATTTACCTTTTGAAATAGAAAAAGAAATTGAGGACACATAATCACAGATATTTACCGATCCTCCACTCAGTCACACAAAGAGATGCTGTCATCCTGAAACTTCCCGCTCGTCGCTTGATGCTCTCCTGCCACTCTGCCATCCTGATAAGGGTCTCCCTCTCCGCCTCAGCTGCTGATGACAGCTATTATTTTAAAAGGGACCATTGGGGGAAACGTTCTGATATAAGTTCATGGTCGCTAAAGTGACCATGAGCTTATAGCAGAAGGGAGAAAGCCACCGACGTATGGCATGCTGAGCTGGCCAGCTGGGAACAGTTGTATTCTGCCGTAAGCCTTATGTTGGTGGCAGCAAAAGGGTTAAGTATATTTAATGGCCAAACTCTTTTTTCATTTTGTATGGAGTAGGGGAGGAATTTTTATGCCATCTGTGTCTCATTAGGGAGATTTTCCTGCACACGTATACCTTAATACAGTAGGCTAAAGGCACATTTTCTGTTTTAGTGTTATAGAATATTTGACAAAGAGGGGGATGATTTGGTGAACTGGCAAGACGGAAGGTCAGCATGTCAAAAGTTGGAAGGAAATCTGGCAAGCATACATGATGACTTGGTACAAGGTAATAAAGACGTGTTTGTGTTTACAGAATATGCCTCCCTATGCACTCCACATGTTCATACAGGCCCCTCATATCACAAAAAAATATGTGGATATTATCAAAAGGGTTTAGCCTAGAGGAAACTGTTGTAGCTATAACATTAGTTGCTTCATATAAATGCTTCAATTTGTACTTCAGTCCAATATATCTTTATTAATATACATCTAAAGCCAAAACTTATTTTAGTTGTGTATAGCTTGGATATAATAAAACTCCTGTCAGGGGGTTCTGTCACAGAAACAGCAATTCAGTTGAAAACAAAATTAGAAAGTTGTCACTAGAACAGGAATAGAGGGGACACCTTCCATTGGGGACACCTGTTCTGGCGTCAACTGTCCATGAGGGGATCTTTCTATGCTTTGTACTTTGTAGGCATTTCCCCTTACTTTCTGTTGTGTCTTTGGGCAGGAAGTGAAGGGAAAACTCCCCAATAAGACAGAGATAGAAAATAATCAATTTCTATCATATTCTATCCAAAAACGTTACTAAAAGCAAACAAAAACGTAGCTAACTATAATCTCTCTCTCCTATATGAGGAGCTGCTGTAGGCAAAACATATGGCCAGACAAGACAGACAGCAAAGTGTCTATCAGAACATAGGGAAATAGGGAAATCTTACAAAAGGAATATACTGTATGTTCCCATGACCACTGTCTAAGAGAGGATTTCACTTGTATTGGAATGATATCCTCTCACTTCTTGTTGAGTCTACAGGAGTCCCTAATAAGATACAGATGTAGAAAAAAAATGACAGTGGTTTAACCCTCCTCTACTCATTCCAAAATGGACAAAAAGTTTTGACTCTAGATATACTTTAATGATGATGTCCTTTTGTACAAGCTCCACCCCTCGTGCCATAATTATGTTGGCAAAAACACTACTAGAATGAGCTACTGGAGGCAGGCCTATCTTTTATCTCTACAGCTCACCAGACAAAATGATCTGCAACTGTAGTGAGTCTTCTGAATTGTCTCAAAATCCCCAGAACCTCCTTCCTCCTATAGTTTACTTGCTGAATTGAGCCACAGATGGCCAGAGTTGACTGGAAGAAAAAAAGAAAGGATGAAAAATGTTTTCACAAATAGTAAATTCTAAGACTTAGTTATGCTCCCACTAACCTGGCTGCCCTAGACACTGGCCCACGAGTTGCATTATGGTAAATGCAGTTTTCAAAAGAGAGGAGGAGGGCCCCCCCCCCCCTTTCTTAGATTTTTGTTGCTGTTTCTTTGTCCATACTGGAGCTGAAAAGAACATCCTCCATGAAGGATCAAGTTGTGGTGAAAAAACCTGACCGGAGGTCATACCTCTCCCTTTCTGAATTGTGTCCTCTCCACCCTCTTACACAGGCCCGGATTCCCCACAAGGCAACCGAGGCCCGGTCTCGGGGCGTCAGGGCGCAGAGGGGTGGCAGCGTCTGTGGAATCCCCCGACGCCCGGAACATGTAGTTCCAGGCGCCGGACGGTAAGTTGCTTTCTACATTTAGCCCTGCTTTCGGAAATCAGTGCTAAATGTAGCGTGAGGAAGCCGGCGGTTGTTCCCCCCCCGCTCCCCTCTGCACTTACCTCTCTCTGTAGCGTGAGGAGTCTGTCTCCTCACTGACAGCCGATGCGGTGAGCAGAGCGTCAGGGTTAAAAGTAACCCTGCCGCTCCGTGTGCACAGTGAGAGGGGAGAGCTGTGCTCTTCCTCTCTCACTTGTCACAGGAGTTCAAGCACAGTGCTGTGCTAGAACTCCTGTATTGGAGGTAACGGGGTCAGTAAAGAGAACCTGTCACCTCCAAATGCTGTCACGCAGGTGCTTGTTAGCTTCTGTGTGATAGCAATAAAGTTAAGTGAAAAAAAATGTATTCCAATTTTTTATGAAAGAAATATAAATAAAAAGTAAGTAGAAACTAATAAGTAATTATTAACCGCTTGAAGACCAGGTGTTTACACCCCCTTCCTGGCCAGGCCATTATTCAGTATTCAGCGCTACAGTACTTTGACTGACATTTATTCCGTCATGCAACGCTGTACTGAAATTAATTTTATACCATTTTTTGGGGATAGATAGAGCTTTCTTTTGGTGGTATTTAATCACCACTGCGGGTTTTATTTTTTACCATATTTAGGAAAAATTAGTGAAAGATGTGATTTTTTTTTTTTATTACATTATGTTAGGAAACAATTATTATTACCCAATTTTATTGGTAGAATATAAAAGATGAGGTCAGGTTGGGTAAATAGACACTGACCATGTTAACATTAAAAATTGCGCGCACCCGCGAAATCGCAAAAACGGCAATACCCAAAATTGACCATAGCTGACGCTTTAAAGGAGAACTATGAGGTAAGTGCTTTTCACTCACCTCATAGTTCTAGCCGACCTGTGACAATGAGACTGTCACAGGTCGGCTCAGTAGATCGGGAAGTGAGCGAACACATACCGGCGTTCGCTCACCTCTTAATCCTGTCACGGCTCTCTGCTGTGACAGGGGAGGGGCTGGATTTCCCCCTCCCCGCTCCGATCCGCCAGCGCTGACTGGTGGAACGGACAGGGGAGAGGGCGGGTACAGCTGGCTCTGCCTCTAGATAGGCAGAGCCAGCTGTCAGTCACGCAGCGGGGCGGATCCTGGCACAATTGTCGGGATCCGCTGCAGCTGCGGCGTCTCAGTATACCGCGAGCTACAGCTCGCGGTATACTGAGCTTAGGGTGACGGGAGGACGCTAGTTTGTGTCCTCCCATTACCCTAAGGAGAACTATGGGGAAAAGCCTTAACCCCATAGTTCTCCTTTAAAAGCATTTACAGCTCTTCTGTTTAGTGTTATAAGTGATTAATGACCCTAGAATTATTGCTCTCACTGCGACGTTCGCGGCAATATGTAACATGTGTGGTGTAATGGGCGCAATCGTCGTTTTCGCAGGTATGCGCACCTGACGCATGTTTGCATGCGTGTATGTATGGGTGGACACTTTAACTCTTGCCGTCCGCCCATTGAGAAAAAACAGACGGACGGCAGACTCCCATTCGCGGGTTGCCGTCTCCAGATGGCATTTTTTTCTTGCTCGCACGCGCCCTCTAGCGCACGGGCAGAAAAAAACCCATCTGTTCTGCACAGCCGTTACCGGCTGTTTCACATACAAACGATCAGCGGCTCTATAGGCACCGACCGGTTGTATGGGGTGATTTGATCGCCCGCCCGACCACCTACCCCACGAGTGCTGCCGCTGCCGCTCCTGACCCCTCACCTTCAATCCCAGGATCCGGTAGCCCATCTGCGGCCCGGGACCGGCTCGGGAGGGCATCAGGAGGAAGAGGGAGGGAGTTCAGCTCCTTGCTGATCTCCCTCCGTACTGTGAATGCCGAAGTGATGTGTATTACATCACTTCGGCATTCACCTGTCAGTCATCTGGCTGCTATAGCAAGAGAAAAGAAGCTAATGAAGCAGATCTCTGCTTCATCAGCTTCTTTTGGGGTCCCCAGGTGACATAAAGGGTCCTAGAGACCCCTAATGTCTCCATAAAGAGGACCTGTCAGTGTGCCTTTGCTATTATATAGGGGGATTGTTATCCCCCCATATAATAGCAATAACAATAAGTGGAAAAAAATATATATATAAATAAAAAAAGTTAAAAATAAATAAAAGTCACATATAATTTTTTTTTTTTAAAAACCCAAAATTTTTAAGTCCCCCACCCCCACGTTTACGCACGTAAACGTAAATATGCGTCAGATGAGTCAGCGCGTGAAAACGACAATTGCGCTACACACATTACATATCGCCGCGAACGTCGGAGTGAGAGCAATAATTTTAGGGCCATCAATCACTGGGTATTGTAGTTCTTTGAGGTTTCGCACATGCGCGTAATTTTAAGGCTTGACATGTTTGGTGTCTTTTACCCCGACGTGAACCCTTCTCCTATATTTTACCAAAAAATTGGGTAACAATAAATGTTTTATAATTTAATATAGGGGAAACAGTTTTTTTTTTAATTTTTCTGTAATTTCTCCTGAATATAGTAAAAAATAAAAACCCCAGTGGTGATTAAATACCACCAAAAGAAAGCTCTATCTGTCCCCAAAAAATTGTATAGAATTCATTTCAGTACAGCGTTGCATGACGGAATGAATGTCAGTCAAAGTACCGCCGCGCTGAATACTGAAAAATGGCCTGGATGGGAAGGGGGTTTAAGACTGCGGACTTCAAGTAGTTGAACAAAAAAAAAAAAAGTTTTAATTCTTTTTTATGTGTAACTTAAAAACATTTTTGAGAAACTTTTATTTTTTTTCCTATTTTTTTTTCACTTAACTTTATTGCTATCAGATAGTGGGCTAAGAAACCCCCTTATGTGATAGCAAAAGAAGTGACAGGTCCTCTTTATGGAGACATCAGGGGCCTCCAAGATCCCTAATGTCACCTAGGACACCCCTGAAGAAGCTGATGAAGCAGAGATCTGCTTCATCAGCTTCTCTCCAGGTATGGCTATGTAAATGACTATATGTTATCTCTGCACTGTCATCTCTGAGCCTGACGAAGGGGACCCTGTGTGGCCACGAAAGCGCTTGCCAGTGAGAGACAGCATCTGTCAATAAATGAGCATCTAATTGCTGTTATTATCGTTGTTGGAGTGCTGGTGACATCTTCCTTTTTGAAGCTGGTGAGTGACACGAGAATGCGGAAGTGATGTAATATACATCACGTCCGCATTCTGACACCGGAGAGGGGACTGGAGGGAGATCGTGTACCGACTTCCCTCTGATCCCCTGTCAGAGAGGCACTATACTGGTCCCAGGTTTGCACCATGCACACCGGAGCCGGGGCCAGCGTGACAACGGGAGGGGGGGCTGCGGAGGGAGGGGGGGACACGGGCCGGAAGCTTATACAAGCAATCGCTTGTATGTTAACAGGCATTGTTGCCTGTTTTTAAATGTTGTGTCTTTCCTGCTCGCGCGCGAAGCACGGCGTGCCCGAGTGGGCGGGGCTAACAGGCCGTATATACACGGACTGTTACATCTAGGAAGCTAGATTAAAAAGGGGATTAAAAAGTATAAAATAATAAGAATTT